AAGTTGTATATCACCATGAGGATTAAATCTTAAATATGGAATTTAATTAAATAAAAGGTTTCAAAACCTAACCAAATATTCTAAATCAAATATATGTGAAGCTATATGGCATGTAAATTAAGAATATCAAGTCAGAATTCAAATAGAGTGAATAGTGCACTCGGGGCAAATTAATTAATTAATTATTACTAATTTTCAAAACACCTCCAATCACTTTCAAATTCAACTATGTTGGAGAGCATGCTAAGGCCTAATTTAATATGCTAACACATATTGATTTTAAGCTAGTTAAGGCCATATGATTTAATATTTTATTCAAGATAAATATTAAATCAAATCTTTAATACTTGTTCAAATTCCCTCAATTTAATATATGTCAATGACCATATTATAGAGCATTATATTACCATGCTACATGTTTAAAACAAGTCATAAGCAACCGGGAAAATCAAATCCAATACAAGAAAATTAAATAATAAAATCTCTAGATTTCATATTTAAGCATGCAATCAAGTTGTATAAGCATCAATAGCATGTTATATAACAAGAATTAAATCTATAACACGTCCTACCTCAATTTGAGATGAAAATCCCAAATCCCCACCAAATTGAAACGGCTCCGAATCCGACAAAACTCCTAGGTTTTGTCGGGGACAACATGATCTATATGAATCCCTAAGAAGCCCCATGAAAATCCAAACTTGACCTCAATCCTGAACTCGAAATTTGGTCAGAAATGGTTTCTAATAAGGGATAATGGTAGAGCACGACGAGACGAACAACAAATGTTAAGGCCGAAGACTTTTCATCAAAGAAAAGTGGATCAAAGGAGGAGAGAGAAAGTGGCAGCCATGGGAGGGAGCTTGGCCGGCCATGGGAGAGGAGGAAGAAGAAGAAATCTGATTTTTTTGTTCTTAAGTCCCATATTTATAGTAAGTCTCAAAAAGTGCCCCGAAAGGGCTCCGCCGGGTTCGGAAAAGTGGATTTTGAGCAAACGCACTCAAACAGCAAAACTCTATGAACAAAAAAGATTTAAAATGAGAAAATATGAACATCAGAAGAAACAGCGTTGAAAACTGAGTCCCGAACAGAAAGTTATGCCCCGAACAAGTTCGGCGATAACCGGGTCCAGAAACTCTGAAACTGGAGAAAAATGACCAAAAGGAAATTCTATGAATTTACGAGTCATCAAAAAGTGAAAATGAATCTAGTACGAGGATCCAGGCTCCAGACGAAACATTTTTGTAATAACTTTCGTTAATTGCACAATGGCCCCTACAAAAAGGGTTAACTGCGAAATTACCCCAGAATGAAAATATCTTCCAAAAGATATTTTCTTAGATGCCCCTGAAATAAAATATCTTCAAAAGATATTTAAGAAAAATACCCCAAGAAATGAAAAAGATTCTGAAGAATTGTGCATCTATGCCCCTGTGGACACCGGGAGCAACTAGAGTACTTTCTTGCAAAAATAAAGATACGTATTTCGAGGAAACCACTCAAGATGAAGGCACGTAAAGTCAAAAACCAACTCCGAGCATGAGAAGTGAGGTTGTGTCAAAAACTGACAAACGGAGATAAGACGAAATAGGAAAAATGACAGAATAGGGAAAAGACGAAATAGCGCATAGTGTCCGAAAAACGAAAAATGCAAAAATGACTCGGTTCTCAAAGGAAGTTGTCAATTCACATGAAAGAGTCTTAGAAACCAATTCTGAGCACTCGAGATGACACTAAGCGACACGAAACAGAGCTCACAAAAGAAAATTAAACGAAAAAAATTTATTCGTAAAATTTCAGGAAAAAGGAAAGGAAGGCAAATGACCGGGTCGTTACAGGGTGGTTCTTACCTTGATAAACATGAGAATGATGTTTGGCAATTGTATGAAAGTATGAGAGAAAATTCCATGCAGAGATCTTTGTCCTCTAAAAATGGTAGAATTCTAGGTGGAAGGAATTCTAGGTGGAAGGAAGAATGTTGACTTATATCAAGTTGACAATTCAAATGACATAGCCGCCGAGATGAAATATTTAACTCAAAGGTTTGATCAATTTTTGGTCAACCACAATTCGGCAAATCAAGTGTCTTCCCCCCCTAATCATCAACATACATCTACTGAATCTTGTATGACTTGTTCTAGTGTCTTACATTCTACTTCCAATTGTCCTCATGGACATGTGTAAAGTGAGCACCATGAACAAGTTAATGCTGCATTTGTTAACCAAGGGAATAATCCCTATGACAATCATTACAATCCTAGTTAGAGGAATCATCCAAACTTTTCTTGAAAAAGCCAAGGGGAAGGCTCAAACCCTCCCCAAGGTGGTTTTCAAGAGAAGTATGTCCCACCTCTAATGCAAAGCCAAAGTTCCCAAGGTTTTAGATCATCATTTCAATCGCATGGCAATTAATTTTCTAACTCTCATTTTCCTAATCAGTCATCGTATTCTCAAGGAAATTCTAAGAGTCCCGCTTTTGAAGAAAAAGTATTGACCACTTTAGGCACTCTAGAGGCGAATACTCAATTGCTTCATTCTCGTTCTCAATCCATTGCTAAGCTAGAAACCCAAGTAGGGCAAATAGCTAGTACATTAAATGCTAGAGAGAGAGGGAAAATGCCTTTGAATGCCCCACAAAAGTAACAATTTGTTGTGGAGACTCATTCCTCATCGGAAGGTCCCACAATTGAACATGTCAATGCGGTGACAACCTTGAGGAATGGGAAAATTATGGTCAACCAAGTAGGTATGTCCAATGAAGAGAGTGAACCTATGCAACCAAAAGTTGACACCCGTCTCATTCCATATTTTATTCCTCCTTCATTACATGTGCATGATCATCTTGATGAGAAAGTGATGAAAAGTGATTTGACAAATGATGTAAAAGATTCTTGTGTTGAAAAAGCTTTGAACGATGATTTGAAAAATTCTTGTGATAAAAATGATTCAAAGAAGGATTTTGAAGAAGTTTTTGAGCTAAAGGCTCCATTTTCCGGATGCCTTGAAAGGATCCATTTCTCTTGAAAATCAAAAGATTAAGACCAATGAAATCATTGATGTGTTTAGGCAAGTGAAGATTAATCTTCCACTTTTGGATGCAATTAAACAAATTCCGGCTTATGCCAAATTTTTTAAAGATCTTTGCACCCAAAAGAGGAAGAACAAGAGACAAGCACCAAAGAAAGTGGTCTTAACCGAGCAAGTAAGCTCTATTTTGCAACATAACACTCTCCCAAAATTCAAAGACCCCGGTTCACCTACTACTTCTTGCATCATTGGTGACCATGTCATTAATCGGGCTCTTTTAGATTTAGGAGCAAGTGTTAATCTTCTTCCATATTCGGTATATGTTAAATTGGGCTTAAGAGACTTAAAACTGACGTCGGTGGTTTTACAACTTGTTGACCAATCCATTAAAAAGCCCGGTGGTATCATTGAGGATGTCTTGATTAAGATTGATAAATTCTTCTTCCTGGTCGATTTCGTAGTCATTGACATGGAACCGGTTCCAAATCGAAAGAGCCAAATTCCCTTTATCCTTGGCCGTCCCTTCTTGGCAACCTCAAATGCTAACATCAATTGTAAGACCGGGATAATAAAAATCTCATTTGGCTACATAAAGGTGAAGTTGAATATATTCAATCCAACCCCGAATTTAATAAATAAGCATGAAGATGTTTGTGTTGTGGAAAAATATCGTGACAATGAATGTGAAAAAGTCGAGTCCTTGCTTGAACATAGAACTTCAAAAAGTCCATCTTCCAATGTGAATTTAAAGAATGCTGCTTTAAAACAAAGGGCATGGAAGCCCAAGAGTTGTTTTGATAAAGGACCATCAATGTCTTTTGAATCAAATCCAATGAGTTCTTTAGGGAACAATTTGTTGGATGGGGTTCAAAGTGCTTTTCACCCCGTCAAGGAGGGGATGCATAATAAGATATTTGATCCGGGCTAAAAAAGCCTAACGTCTTACTAAAGATGTTAAAAACTAGTGCTTCGTAGGGTTTACAACCCTATTCCTCCCTCATTTCTATTTTACTTTTCATTTCTTGCGACGTCTAGATATATTCTGGGTTCATACACATGGCTAGGAACTATGATCGAGGTTACATGCACTTTCTTCCTAACCTCTGGCGACATCACTAAGCTTCGAATCATCTCTCTTCTCGATCTCGTCATCTTTCTTTTGTCTCCACTTCTTTCTTCTCATATTAGGTAAGTTTTGAGTTGTATTTTTAATTTTGAGCTTTAATCTTGATGATTGCATGTTTGCCATGTAAGATCTGAGCTTCCATGTTAGATTTCTTGCTATATATGAAGTTTCCAAGTATGTATATATATGTGTACATATATGTATATATTTTTATATTTTTGATTCCGATTTTGATTCAGGGGGTCACGGGCCTATCTAATGACCATTGTTGAGTTGTTGATGTGTGACAGGGCCCACGAGCTTGCTCTTGAGGCCCTAGTGTCATCAACGTCACAGATATGTGACTTTTTAAATTTTTCACCGCAGTTCGATCGATCAAATTTTTCTCTAATCGATCAGAGAAAGATCGATCTTACTTAATCCTGATCGATCCAACTTGGATCGATCTCATATTTTCCTGATCGATCAAGTATCACAGATTTGCACATACACCTCCTACACCATCTTTTGTGTTCCACACTATCTTATTTATGCCCAATGCCTGTGTTTTCCACATTGGATGTTTTCCATACTTATACTGTTTAGTATGTTTCACTTAGTCACTGTTTATTTGGCGACGTCATCACTTGCATAGATTCGTGTAACTCATTCTGAATTGTCTATCTTACTTGACACACTTGTTTCTATATGTTGTGCTTCAATTCTTTATTATCTGTTACTGACTCCAGTTACAAGTATTTCTTTTCTTTTTGCAGACCATGGCTAGGGTAAAGACAGTTCCCACCGACAGTATGAGCGCAGAGTGAGACCGCGTTTAGAGGAGTAGACAGGACCTTCTCACGTTCAGGACCCAACTCTAGAGCCAGCTCCAGTTCAGTCCTCATCAGCCGACACCAGACTACAGTCTTCGGCTTCTACATCATCTTCTTCAGATGAGGCTGAGTATGTACCACCTCCTTTACCACCACCAGCACTGCCAGGCCAGGTCTGAGACAGACCTAGCAGGAGACATTCATGCCTTCAGGTGGCGCATGAGTTGGTCTTCGACATTGCCTTCTTTTCTCGGTTGATCCTGACCCAGGCGGCATTTGATGACATTGACCGGTGGGGCATTTCAGCCATTTTTGCTCCAGTTACCTATCCTGTTTACTCGAGGCTCGTCCGGTTGTTCTTCTAGAATCTCCGACCGGCCCCGAGTAAGCTATCGGAACTGTGGACCACTATCGATGGCCACTCCATCTGCATCACAGTTGAGTCACTGGCTATATCCTCACGATGCCCATATGATTACCCTCCTAGCCTTCAGTATCCTATTCTCAGGCAGCCATCTTACGTAGATATGGCCATTGCTCTGACCGGCCACTACAGTGATGGCAAAACATTTACCACTCGGACTTATCTGCCCAACGATTTCTGGTTCTTTGATTCGGTCTTGTACCGAAACGTATTTGTAGCGGGCCATAAGATCCAGAAATGCTCAGACTTTCTAGCTACTCTTTATACCTTCTATACAGGGCATTGGTTCTCTGTTCCTGCACTCATCTAGAGTGTTATGATGAGATTATATGCAAGCTACATCAGCAAGGCCAAGCCTAAGTGAGCCACTTTCTTCCCCTTTGGACATCTGATTACATAGATCCTCTAGGACCAGCATTATCCCTTTCATCCGGAAGAGCATACTGAGTCAGGGGCTTGCCACTATGGCAAGAAAGATTAGAATAAGAGCTATAATGCTCTTATCAGGAGTTTAGAGCAGGACGCCATTCTAGTAGCAAAGGAGGCTGTAGAAGTAGAGATGGCAGAGTAGGCAACAGCAGCAGAGCATGATCCAACAAACCCACTGGCAACTGCGGACGTGCATATGGATATTGATTTAGAGCCAGAGCCTCTAGAGGAGTCACCACATAACTCTCCGGCAGGGTCGCCATTGTATTCTTAGGAGCAGGGTCAGGATATATCTCCAATACATGATCCAGTTATCCCTTATGCTCCAGTTCCGACACCTAGCCTAGGAGAGTGTATACAGACCTTGGAGGACACAGTTGTCTCTCTTTGGTCAGATGTGGCCTCCCTCAACACTGATGTGGCATCTCTCCGCTCAGACGTCATGGCTGTGTTACAGGATTTATCCAGAGATATTCGGGGATTACGCCCCACTCGCCCTACTTCCTTTGCCTGATCTCTATCTCTTTACTTTTTATCATTTTTTATATATCTGTGATTTTAGACTGCTACTTTGATATAGTTATTATATTTTTGCGGCCAGTCTGTTGGCCCAGACACTATAATGTACTGTACATTATTTTTATTATTCTATGCATGCTATTTTTGGATGTCAGCTCTTATATTAATATATTTATCTGTGATTGACTTCATTTATTAGATATATCCCAGTGACTTCAGTAAGAGAGAATGCTGCCCAAATTTTTCAGGACTACCCTTATTCTTCTCTCCTCATTTCATTTATTATCCCATTTACACTTGTATGTCCACTGTGCACTGTTATTATCCCTTTGTTATTTGATGAGTTTTATCCAAGTGCCATTTTTCAGGACCACGGTCAGTTCCAAGTTTGGGGGGGTTATACCACCCACTTTGGATACTTGTGTCCCAGCCATTCTTTGCTTTAGTTGCACTGGTATACTCTTTCCTTTTGTTCTCTTTGCACATTGAGGACACTGTGCTGTTTAAGTTTGGGGGTAATGGGTGTTATTGGCAGTGTTTGCTTTCAATTTAAAATTTTAAGCATGACCTGTATATTTGAGGATTTTTCTATGATTGGTCCATAACTAGCTATGATTTTGATCTTTTGAGGACTATATTGCTTAGAATTTAAAAATTGCTAGACTTGAGAGTCCAATACTCTTTGTATGTCTTGTGGATGCCATTTAGGAGTAAATTTTTTGAAAGATTGATATCTTGCTTGCATTTATGGTCCATATCATCCTAATTTTGTGATTGTTTTGAGATTCACTCTAAGATTCTACACTAGCACAGGTGCATACTAGTATTCATCTGTGGGGTACATACTTTGTTGATTATTGAATTGGTTATATCCCAATTGGGCAAGTAGTGCATTGAAAGCTTTCATTTTGACAAAAGTGGATAACAATCCTTTTTCATTGAGTAGCCGGGATTCTAGCCTCATCAAGTACTGAATTTCTCGCGCCGTGTGATACTCGTCAAATTCGAGACATGGGTTGATCAGGCCCAAACCCAAACTCGATGGATCATCAAATAATTAATATATAAACAAACACAGAATACAAAAAGGATTTAAGAAAATAAATAGTAAAGCTGAAAGAATTATTAAATATAAAATCCTCCAAAGTTAAAGATGATAATAATCTAACTCTCCAAAACCTCTAAGAGTACAACTCGGGAATTCATTTAGTGGACCCTTAAATAAAATCCCAAATGATAAACAAACAATTGAAGATAAAAACCAAATCTAAATCATGGAATGAAAACACTACTTCGTCGGTAAAGTGAATGATCGTCTCTGCTCACCCCGACCAAACCTTAAGATTGGAACCGTCCGATACCTGAAAAATATAATAGTGGGTCAGGCCACGAACAAGTTCTAATCCAATTGTAGTCTATACAGTGACCCAATACATAGATACATCCTAGATATCTCACAATATTTATCTAGTCCACAAATATATATATATATCCACACTAAGGGACATTCACTAAACTACAAAGGGGTCTCAACCTAAATAGAAGGCAACATACAAAAACGCACCCAAAGGTGGGCATGAATACCTAGACCTAACATCTCAACCTATCATAGCCAGCTACATATCCGCTGCATATACGCACCCTAACCAATGACTATAAGACTCAAGCTTATGTCTTGGTACCATAAACATATATTTAAAGTCCATCCAAAACCAGAGTACGTCATTCAATTGTTCATTGATCTGACATACGATTTATAATCCCGTTAGTCACTCAACTTATTCAGTTGATATGACTTAACTACAAACAATAGTTAATCCATGTAGTCACTCAACTTACTCAGTTGATCTGACCTAAATATAAGTAGGATTCAATTTTTACAATCCATTCCCTTATTCCAATAGGGTAGGTCTTAGCGTTTTGAGATAAACCATCCCTAGTATGCTACCGTCCCATACCGGTGCATACAATCCACAACATCCAGATAATTGATAGAATTTAATGTAATAATTCAGCAATTATAATCCAACACATAATTCCATGTAATTGACAAAATATCTTTTAATAATTCTTTAATTAAAATCTAAGAGAAACATAATCAAATCTAATATGTATAAGACCCTATTATGCATCCAAAACAAATTTAGAAATCATACTCCAGTCATCTAGGTTGCTAAAATAAGTTTAAGCAACTAAATACTGTATATCCGTCAACAGTGTGTGACATTCCTTAAAACTTTCACACTATGAATACCATTAGCATATAGAGATAAATTATGCATTTTGGGTTTTAATACAACATAATATCATGTTTAGAGTCCATGCTACAGTTCGTTAAATTGTTAACACAAGATTAAACAATTTAATCCTTCCTATCCATTAACAGCGTGCAAAGTTGCTTATTTTTATACTGTTCATTCTATTTACACTATAGATCAAATTATGCAATTAGAGAGTTTAAAATCCCATGAAATTACATTTAAAATCCTCAGTCCAGTCCTTGAAATAATCCAGAATACCAAACACGTCCAAAACAGTGCCCAAAACAGTTCCGAAATGCATCAAAACAAGGGAGCCTGCTCTCAAAACCACAAAGCAGGCTCAATGCACCACGGAGCCGGCTCCCTAGCCCTTGGAGCCAGCTCAGTGAAGAGGGGAGCCGGCTCCCAACCACCTGGAGCAAGCTTTCTCCCTCTCTGAGAGCACTGGTCCGCTTCTTCTCCGTTTCTGATCATCTGCTTCGACTCCGGCCTCTTCCTACCCTTTTGTTCTTCCTTAAAATTGATCTTAACAGTCTAATATATATCTAGTAGCATCCCAATGATTTGTTTACAATAGTTGGAATTAATTACAGTGATTAAAACCGCTACCTATTCATTATGCGTTAACACAGACCTTGAACTTCAACTTGCAAGAACAGTTACAGATTAAATTAAAACACATACAGTCGATTAATTTAACGTAAACTAAGCATGCAAGATTCAGTTAACGTTTAATTAAAACCCTAGAGACCATCTAGGTATGCATAGAACACAAGCCAAGGGAGAGAGAAAGAAAAGAACTTGCCTGTGATTTCAGTTATGAAATCTCGGCGTCGTCTCTAAGTTTCTGGCAGTTACTGAATACCGTCAAGCCTCCTACTGCTTTGGCTCTAATCCACAATCATCCTCCTTGGTCCTCTCTATTTTCCTCTCAAGCCTTCCTTTGTTTCTCTCTGCCTCCAGTACGTGAATAGGGTTCTAAAACCCTTGGCAGACTTATACACGTATTTATATAGGCTTTAGCCAAAACCTAATTCTACTACATTAAGAGACAGAACCCTAAAATAACTAAAAACCCTAACTTAAACAATAAATAAAACCAATTAACTTATTTAAATAATTAAACAATTTCTTCATTTAAGGAAACCAATAATATAATTACAATTAATTTAATTAAATAAAAATCAAAATACAATTAAATAAAACAAGTCATTAATTAATCAAATAAATACAATTCAATAAAACAATACATTTAAATAAAACAATTTATCAATTAATTCGTATAAACAGACAAATAAACAATTAAATAATTAAAAAGCAAATTAAACAATTAAAAATGCAACAAAATAAATATTAAAATGCCAAGACTATCCTTTTAAAATTAAGGGTATTACATTCTCCCCCCCTAACAAAAGGAATTCCGTCCTTAAAATTCGCTCTTACCTTCTTCCAATATTTTAGGAAACTGCGAGCGAATGACATCCACTGAACACGCACCAAAGGGATAACCTTATTGCGAAGGATTTGATCCTGACGGTCGACAATACGACATGGTGGCTCCAAATATGTTACATCCGGCTGCAACTCAATCTCCCCAACATCGATATGCTACTACCGATCTTGATCTCACAGAAATTTCCGCAACATGGAAACATGGAACACATTGTGTACGCGATCCAAATTATCCGGAAGTACTAACCGATAAGCGACAGCTCCTACTCGATCCGTAATCATGAATGAACTGACAAACCGCGGTGACAACTTACCTTTCTTCCTAAAGTGCATGACACCTTTTATAGGCGACACTTTGAGTAAAACTTGATTCCCAACCTGGAACTCCAAAGCACGAGTGCGATGATCAGCATAACTCTTTTACCGACTCTGAGCAGTGCGCATACGATCCCTAATAAGAGCAATTTTCTCAGAAGTATCCTTAATGAACTCTGGACCCAAGAATCTGCTCTCGCCAACCTCCGGCCAACAAATAGGTGATCGACACGATTGGCCATATAATGCCTCAAATGGTGCCATACCAATAGTTTTCTGGAAACTATTGTTATATGCAAACTCCACCAGTGGCAAATAATCCTCCCAGTGGCCC